AAGCAAATAAGCAAATGGATGTATAGAATTGACAACAACAACCACGCTGTCGAGTTTAAATAGCGGCAAATCAGCTGTACTTGATAGTAGTTGGTTGAATAAGGAAAATGAATTAGCAACAAGAGTTTACGGGATGTACATAGCTCAGTGGTTAACGCTTCTGACTTTGAACATCGACTTCGCAGGTTCGATCCCTGCTGAAGTCTAGAAAAAGAAGTCTGATGAGGAGATGTGGTGATCTCCGAAATAGTGCTATAACTTCTACCGCTTAGACTTTGTTGCTTTTTCAATTTTTCCTAATAAACAATCGTGGTACAAAGCTCAATAAAAATATTAAAAAATTTGCTTACTTAGAGCATGTGTGAATCGGTAACAAAGTTCGCGACGAGTAAATTTTTGACAACTATGAGGTGAATAAAATTTCTGCGGTTATCAAAAATTTACTGCTGTCAAAAAATATTTCATTTCACCCAGCAGATTTGCAAAACTGTCTCACCATTGTAAAAATATTATTCAACAGCTTTCCCCATAGAACTTTGCTACCGATTCACACACGCCCATAATTTAAAAAAGACACAGAAAATGCAGGTAATTTGAAATGAAATAAAAATTATTCATTGTTTCCATATTTACATTTAACATATCGTTATCTTATAGTAAAAAGTTGCAAAGCCCACTTTTACAAATTTTACACGAGAGGAAAAACTTCTTCTTCAAGTAAATCGCTTTTTTAAGTTATAGTTTTTTAGTAAATGTAGATATAGATATGTATGTATCATTATTATCATTGCTTTTAAATACAAACATTATTTCGCATTAATTTAAAAATAAATCGGAAATTTTTTGATACATTTTTTAGAGTTTTCTAGGGAATAATTATTAACGTTAAGGGAACAGACATTGACTTTTCAGCGTTCCAAGCCACCATTCGGCCAAGCAAGTTTTTAAAGTAAATCAAAGCAAATTGAAGTCAACAAGGCGCGCAAAGTAAGCCGGCATTGGGCCAGCGCCTTTAGTTTTTCTTCACTTACTTGAGTTTGTTATGTTGAAATTTCGAATTTGACGTTGGGTAATATTTTGTTTTTTGAGCATTGCCAACGTTGAGGGTTTCCAAGGTACGAAAACAGGTTTCCAAAAAACTAGTGAGCTGTTCCAATGTAGGAAGCTCCCTGGAGGATCTAGCTTTTGAGTTGTCGGATGGACTACAAGGGGATCCCAATTAGTGGTAGAAACATTAAGGTTAGCTAACGAAGCAAGGCACTCCTTGGTGGTATCCAAAAGTATTCGAATTGCTAAGTGCGAAGTCACATTGAACTTTGGTATCGCGAACAGTTTTTTTTAACAGTGTATCAACTATCGCACGTTTATTATCGAACCTATCTTCTAATGTATTCCAAGCAAGATCATAGTTTGCTTCTGTTGCGAAAATGTGTTTGATAAGACGTGCAGCATCTCCAGTGACGCAATGTTTTAGGTAATACATTTTCTGAATTTTACTAAGTGTATTGTTATTGTGCACAAAAGAAGTATATAAATCACGAAACGAAAACTATTCTAAGAAGTCACCTGAAGAGTAAACTGAACTGAAATTTTCAGTAATTTGGCGTCACTGGAAAATGTGTCGTTTCGATGTGAATTTTGTGACTATTTGAGGTGGTTTTTACTAAAAAAAGTATATAAACTCATCACCCTTACATATGCCTGTGACAGCGTTTCCGGGCGCAGCCCGTGTGCCTTTCCTTAAGCCTCGTCAGCTCGCACAGCAGATGCGTGTGATTCGGTAAGTATCTTTACCTGATCCATATTAAGTGAACGGGTAAAATTTGCGAAAGAGAAAGAATACTTTTAGTTGAGATGTTTGTATTCTATTTACGAAGGACAAGAAATTAGACCAAAGGTTCCTGCTCGGGCGCCAAAAAATGTGTTATTAAAAGCTAAGGCTTAAGGTTAGAAAAAGTTTATTTGAACCTTACTCAATCAGCTATACAAACGAAAAGAAAAATAAATTCAATTTTCACATACTGCAAAGCCATGATTCAATAATAGAAAGGTTTTGTAATAAAACAGTCTTCTCGCTTCCACACATAAAATCGGCTCCTTTACTTGTGCAGAATGTTGCTTACTCTACAGTTTCTAATGATATTAGTAGTAAAACCAAAAATTCTTCATACTAAATATTCGTGAGCATCACCTTCGTTTGCGTAATTTTCTAGAACAAATGTAGAATACCGTTTTGTTATAAAATAACCAAAATTACAGATTGATAGAACTTTTCCCTCTGATTTGAACGATACCAAATTTATTCGGCGCAGGTAATAAATAAAGAAGATATTAGAGGTTTATTTGCTTTATTTATTTGTATTTTTTATTATCACTAAATTGTTGAAACCCAAAAGTAGATAATGACAAAATATGTAATATCGAATTAAAGGTAATAACTAGTACTTTCTAAATAATATTAATTTCTTTACCATTAATTATTCAGTTTTTTCAAAAAAGGTTATTTCATGAAAAAATAACATTTCGATGGCTGAGTGGAAGATCGACCTATCTCGGTAGCCAGTTCGAAAAGGCCCTATCTCAGAAAATTTTTCAACAACGCTTTATCTCAGAAAACTTTTCAAGAACGCCCTACTTCAGAATTTTATTGGAAAACACCCTACCTGAGAACTGGGTTGAATAGCGCCCTATCTCAGCTGCCGATCCAAAAACGCCCTATCTCAGCTTATTTTCAATGTATTTTCGTTTGAGATAGGGCGTTTTTGAACCGAGTTCTGAGATAGGGCGTTCTTCAACAAAATTCTGAGATAGAGTGTTTTTCAATAAAATTCTGAAATAGATTGTTTTTCAATAAAATTCTGAAGTAGGGCGTTCTTGAAAAGTTTTCTGAGATAAGGCGTTTTCGAACTGGCTGCCGAGATAGGTCGATCTTGCACTCAGCCATCGATTTGTGCATCAGCTGAAAGACAAATCAATTATCTTGGTGGTGACGTCATTAATTTTTTAATCGGTTATATAGTTCATAAGATATAATATTTAAAAAATCTAAAAACTGAAATTTAACTTTCTAGAACGTCTTCATTTTTCACTTGCGCCAAATAATTTTGGCATGGTTGAAATGAGCATAAAAAGTTCTATTGATCTGCATTTTTCGTTTTTTCATAGCTAAACGGTCGGTATTCTAGATTTCTTCCAGCAAATGACGAATAACTGAAATCAAAAATGCATATTTTTATGTATTGTTTAGTATTTCTATTATAACACCAAATATATTGCAAATTCGCATAGAATTAATAATACACCTTTACTTCTAATTGTATACTTTGCGTACTTTTTGTAGTACCTTTCTACTACCGTTTTCGCTAAAGGCGATCACATTCTTCCCCTTTCTCCTACTTCCAAAATACAAATCTAGATAAAGGAGTGTCAAATTTTAGCTGTCACAAATTACACAACCTTGTATTATTGAATCATGCTTCAAAGCTATAAAGTTAAAAAGGCGAGAGAATTAAAAACAGCACTTCTCTAGTATATAGTTACTTATTACGTTTTGCTTACGCCTCGTTCTTACAACAGGACTGCATTTACAGTAAGGTGGGTTACAAACATTATAAATGCTACAATTGTATAAGTATGTTGAATATGTTTATCACGAACAATTGCACTTTATATAAAATATCCAAAAATTGAGTGAACTTGTAAATATTACGAAGTTAGAGCTATTACATAACTAGATGGTAAGCTTATTATTGATAAAAATATAACAAAATGTAATGATTAATTTTTTTTTGTACAAAATTGTAAACCAGAAATTATAAGTACATACATATTGAAAATTGAACAAAAAAAGTCATGGTTTTCAGAAATTTTAAATAGAAAACAAGGAAAATGTAAGAAAATAAGAGGAAGGAATTTCCTAATTGAAATAATAAAACCAGGAGCAATATTGCTTTGAGGAAAAAATATTGTAGAAAATCAAAATTTATAAGGAACATATGTATTTAGTAACATTTGAAAATAATACTGTAATAAATAATAAAACCTATGATACAAAAAAGAAGGTAGTTTCATTACTGCTATTTTTTGATTATAAAGCAGATTTTGGACATTTCTCCAAATGTAAACATTAAGCATAGCTTTGCCACATTGGAATTTTTTGGGAAGGGAGATTTTTTTTTTTTTAATATTTGGGATTCAATACAAGAGTAAAAAAGGTAAGTTGATGTGATCGATAATCAAAGTTCAACGTTCTTCTCAAGCGTAAAAATTACTTTTGAAGAATACTGATGTGCAGAGATGAGGAAATAAAATATAATCGAGTTTTTATACAATTATTTATTTTAAACCAAATAAAATAATTTACATGTGTAACATGTAATAAAACATTAACATATTTTGTAATTTTCTTAATTTCTTTGCTGAAGCTTTGCATCCGTCCCCTTGCAGATATATGTATTTCGTACTTTTGCTCTCAGGAAATAAGCAGCTAAATTTTTGGTTTCTGGTATATATATTTTTCGGTATAGAACAATCCTAGGGGGTGAGAGTATTAATATTCTGACTTTACTTTTTTACCACCCTAATGTAATATTTTTAAATATTTTTTCGTCATATTTTAGTTTTTTATACAAAACTAGCGGACCCCCTGCCTGCTTCGCTAGGCATATCAAAATTAGAAATGAATAATGAACACTCGATTTAAATTCACTCTATCTGTATTTATTCTTTTTTTACAATATCAAATTAATGTTAATTTTAAACTTAAACTAACGCAAAGCCTTTTCGTAAACTACATTTTTTGTTTTGCCCTGAGTTGTGGTATAAATAACTGATGGCTTTCCTACACGTGAACATGATACATATAATTGTCCGTGGGAGAAGCATGGATATTCTAAGTCAATTCCGCATAATTCCTTGTGCTTTGTTTATTGTCATTGCAAATGCAAGACGTATTGGAAATTGCAATCTTTTGAAGTCAAAAGCTAAATCTGGTGGAATCAGTGGAATACGCGGAATCAATACGTCTTCACCTTTGAATTTTCCTTTCGTTCGTGTTCACCGATCGGTCTTCTGTCAGCTCTAATCACAATTTTATGATCATCAGATTGCATTTGATCAAGTGCTGTCTTAAACGTAGTAACCAATTCGTTATGTTCATGAAATATTGCTTGCAATTCTTCAGTTATCAATCTTCTGGCACTTTTAAAAAATGCACAACGTGTATCGACTTCATTTTGATTATTGCCAAGGAAATAAATTTGCAAAAATTGATAGTTAGCATCTGGGAATGGCAGCAAGGAACCGATTTTGTGGTAAATTTGCCCTTGTATCTGCAATGTAGAGCCAAAATATTCAGATGATAGATTGTCTATTTCAAAATTTTCATTTGAAATGCTTGATGCCGAAATTACCTTGAAGGTCGGCATAAAATTATCTCATATTATATTCGTCGCACCAAAAGACGTCATTTGAAAACATGAATTGTACATTTGAATGTGATCCAAAAAATGATTTGATTGAGGTGTTGAGCCAGAAAGCAGTGAAGCTAATGGTTCTGGTGGATATTGTAATTCTGGTAGTCGTACTTTCCCAGAAGTACAACACATTCCAGGAGGTTCAGTTTTAAATTTCACTGCATTACAATATTGACATATTTTGTCCATTGCGCCAATAACCACAAATTTATGCAAACTCAAGTAGCACAAAAGTCAAAAATACACCAAAATATTTTGTGTATTTTTTACATCGGCGTGATATACATTTTCAATATAAAAAATATACTATTTCTAAGCGCAGTTTTTGAACAGTTTATTTCGATTCAGTGTAAAAGTTATACCGCTTTTTCGTGCATTATTTACACCTACCGTCAATTTTTTTTTACTGATTTTCGGCATATATATTATACCAGTGGTATACAAGTTTTCTTGTTTCTGAAACATAATATAAACTCCGTTGGTGTAAAATACGTATTGGTATTGGCTCAAATCATACACAATAATGGTATAGAATTTACATCATATTCTAGCATAAATATATTTTCATGAGTGTGAAGAGTACAAAAGGATTCGAGGAATAAAATTTACTACTAATCAAATTTAAAATTAACTCAGACATAAAATTTACACCGAAGCTCCTTTTTAATCTGCGCGACTTGGAATTCTTTTTATAAATCTCAGCATTCCTTTTCGTAATATGCAGGCAAGAAAATCGCGAATATATATGAATGTGAGTTCCTAATTTAAAAACGGGTTACATTCTGTCGAGTGAATTTCGAAACTACCCCCTCTAAAACTCGACCGCCTCAAAATTTATAAGGATTTGAAGATTTTGAAATAAATCTGGAAAAACGTATATTTTGAAAGCAATGAATTTTTCGCCATTATAAAATTTTTAAGAGATGCGCTCTTTAAAAAAGGTTCGAAAATACACATAAAGTGGCATAGTTGAGCCGATGTACATAATGAAATTGAAAAACGTCTGTTCAATTAGAGTCACTGACGAGCCTTCGTCCAAAAACGCATACGTGTCGACAGAGGAACCATTACAATAAACTCTGATCGGAAAAATTCTGAAGCGCGACCCGACCGACTATGAGCATTCACAATTTCACTTCGTTCAAGTGATAAATTTATGTTTTTGTGTAGCAATGGGTGGTGCTTTGCTGTACAGCCATTAATACCGCACTGTTTATTGGAAAAGCACTTACGCCGATGAAGATTTAGGCACTGGCGGCACAATTTGCTTTTCTTCACCAAACTCCACTTGTCGTCTAAATTCAGTGACTGGAACTCACCACAAGTTTGTATTTTGTGAGTTTCGCTCTTACACGCAAAACAAGTTGGCTCTACAGTGTCAATTTGTTGATGCGTGTTTACCAACGCACTTTTCTTACACATCACAGTTGACACGACTTGACTGGCTGCAGCAGCTATGGCATATATCCAGTCGCTGAACGCTTTCACTATAGGGACTCTAACATCTTTCGGGTGCATAGCCCAATTAAGTTTATGGCTATTTGGCAATCTATCCACCAAAGTTTTCACGAGCAAAGGGTTATTTAATTCGGCATATTACACGCCTCCATCGTAGAGCAAATATTTGGGATAGTTAAAGCGTATTCGATAATACCATCTAGCTTGTCTTTTAAAGGCGGAATTTTTGTTGCTTTCTCTATCATGCTGTCAAGTATATGCTCTGGTCGACCGAAACACATTTCCAAAGTTTGAATTATTTCACCGACCATCGATGGAATTAGTAATTTGCTTTTCACCAGTTCCTTAGCGCGACCACGGAGACACGATTGTAGACGCATTAAGTTTTCACCGTCACTGTAACCAGCCAACTCTGTGCTATTCCTGTAGTTGCTGATGAAAAGCGGCCAGTCTTCTGGGTTGCCGTCGAATTTTGGTAGTTCTTTAGGTATTGCCTGTCTGGCAGCAATCTGTGCGGCTGTTGGCTGAAGCGAGGAAAAGGTATTGGAAATGGAACACGAAAGTTGTGCTGGATCACCTTGAGAAAGAATCCTGTATTTTCTTTCCAAATACTGGCATTGGAGCTCTTTTTCTTCTTCCAACATTTGCAGCTGCAACTGTGTTTGAGAGGACAAGTTGCATTCAGACGAGTTCGGTGCACTTGTTTTATCAAATTGACGTTGCGCATATTCGTTGTTTTGCGTGTCGGCTGGTAGAGCCGCTTTTGGTGGTACTGCCGTCTTTTGATACATTTTTGCAGCATTCGTTGCATTGCTAGGGCCATGATTATTCAACCATAGTTGAGATGCTTTTTTGTATGCACCTTTGTCATGGCTGGCTTCCTTTGGATTCGTTGGTGGTGGTGACTTGCGTTCCGGCGGAGAAATCAGCGGTTGTGTTAACAGGCGGCAATAGCTGCGTAGCTTTCGGCATGTTGGTTGGTGCCGTGGGTGGTTCATGACAATATGAACAACTGCAGCTTACGTTAGCGACGTTAGCGTCTACCGCGACACACTCGAAATGGTACCACTTATCGCAGGAGTCACATTGCACCATATGATCGGTGTCTTTTGATTCGCATTTGTTGCAGTTAAAATCTGTTTCCGACATTATTTTGTCCAAATTTGAAACACGATAAATTTTGCTTTAGTGGAACGCGATTTATCAATTTCTTCACCACGACGAATGTCTTCAATTTACTCGATAGAGCGTGAATATTGTTTTAAAGAATTGTGGCTTAAATCAAACACGAAAACTTTTAAGAGCGATCGATTTATTTCTAAACAATATGTTTTCTTGCTTCTTGACAAAACCGACTGCAACTAATTTCTAGTTTGCAATGCCCTTTTAAGCGTAATAGTGTCACCAGATAGCACCGTTATTAGAAAACAATAAATAGTAATAATATGTACATGCATATGTATTCACTGTCCACATAGATCGAGTGTATGTATTCAATTATGTATTGCGAAAGCGAAAATATAATAGAAGATAATAACTAATATAGATACATAATACAGTGGCGGCGGTAACACTCTTCCTAAACCAGGGGTTCCCAAACTTTATTTACCGCGGCACCCATTGTTGTGCTAAAAAAATTTCGCGGCACCCCTACTCTACAACAAAGTGTAATTGAATTTGACATTTCTCTCATAAGCAGCATCCTATAATGTCAAATTGAAAAAAGTATGCATTTTATTAATATTTTTTGGCTTTATGGTACCTTAAAAGAGAGCCGCACTGAGTTCTCAATCAGACCTTGTTTAATATAAATTGCTTCTAATTATAAATTTTTTAAAGTAAACTTGAAATTAAAAGTAATTTTAAAATGGTATTTTTCATAAAAAATAAAGTAGCTTTAAAAAAGGTTTATAAACTGAAATATGTACGAAAACGTCAATTTATAAAGCTCTTCAAACCTACTTTATTTTTTATGAATAAGGCCATAACATTATAATGTGTACACTCCTGTTAAAATGGGTATTTTTTTTTATGAACTGCATTTTATTTACATACCAAAATATTGATAAAAGATAAGTACTGTGGCGTTCTGTGGAGTTCTGGTAAATTTATTGTGGTATTTAAAATACTACCATAGTGACAGACATTAATTAGTATTTCAGTGTCATATTCAGTGTTTCCGTGAATCATTTTTAGTGGTAGCCAAATTCCGTTTAAAAAAGGGCCGAAAAGAACTAATTTTGGCTAAAAATTATAGCTAAAATTTTTTACTTACATATATGTATACATATATAAAAGGGCAAATACACGACACAAGCTTGTTGGCACCATTAGGTGATTGTACCATCAGGCTCCAAGCATAAAACATACCAGCTTGCTGGTACAATATCTATTTCTTTACAAATGAGGTCCAAAAAATACCGAAATGATTAGAGCCGAAATCTCAAAAGTTTTTCGCAAACACGGCTTTGACTCATATGGTGCAAGAAAATTTCGGTAAAATACTTAAACGAAATGAGCTAATTTCACCATTCGTGATACTAGCATGCTGGTACAATCATAAAATTTTGAAATCGTTTTTGATGTCGCACCAGCAGCCGGTACAATCACACCACAAGAACATACACGGTCAATCGGCTGGCACCAACACTTGAAGGCGCCAGCATAATGGTATCATCCATGGGCCCTTTAACAGATTTAGGGTATTCACTGTTTACTTTTAAAGTTAAAGGGTGGCATCTTTAACAAGATAACACACTCGAACTATGAGCAACCCTTCACATCTTTCAAATTGCGCCCACCTTATGTTTCTGCTTCACTTTCCATTTTTTCTTAGCGCGAATAATTAGCTGATCAGAGATGCCAGTTTAACACAAAACAAAAACAAGGGACAAAGTCAAGTAACTTAGCCCAAAAGTATTATCTCTAATTGGTATGTGAACCAACAACAAACAAAGTTACCACATGGTAAAATGTTTTAAAGTTACCACGTGGCAAAATTAATACAGTAGATAATATAGAACTGTGAGCACTCTAATTAAGCATATTTGGGGCTGTAAACTCATCTATTTTAAAGTATGTATAACTAAATCCTTAATAGATAAGTTAATGGCCCTTACACTTTTATAGTTTTTATAAAAACGTAAGGAACATACAATACAAATACACACATACATATATATATATATCAGAGTCTTTCTTATGGTGATTTCGTTTCTACCAAAAAATGTTGCCTTTTGATTGCCCCTTTCTCTTTTCGTGTTCGATTCTAAATTAAAGGCAAGAGGTGAGAAAATTGTGTGTTCGTTTCTTAAAATGTCGCACTCTTGTAAGGCAAAAAGGCACATTCTCTGCTCTGTGAAGCTATGTCAGGTGAGATAGTTGCCCTGAAAATTTGATGGTGGTTTAAAACGAAAACAAATGCGTGAGCTAGGCAAGGGGCAAGGGCAAGAAGGCAAACACTTGCCTTTTTACTGGGCTTACTGCAACATCAA